GCACACACACACACATACACATTCGGATAAAACTTTTATAATCTAACAAATAAAAAAAAAAAAAACTGAAACTGAAACTGAAACTGACATAAAAAGAAAAAAACGTTTGTACTACTACTATGCGACGATCGAACCCTAGCGGAAATATTTTTCACTAAGTTACTTATCGAGGAAGTAGAACATTCGTATGAGCGTATGAATACAGGTTTTTATAATACGAATACATTCGCGTAGGTTGTTATGCGGTTTTTTAACCATACGAAAATTATAATGAAAAAAATAATTCCGCGGATCTATTTTTATTTATAAAATCTATTGTTAGCTTATGGTGGAAAAATCCATTGGGGAGAAAAATTATTATTATTATTGATTAAATGATGGATTTTCTTTTAAATTTTCACCAAATGAATCTTTTTTTTTTATAAAATCTCCCACGATATCATTTCTCACTAATCTTTGACCTCTTTAACTTCATTAAATATACTCATTGCCTTTTTTTTCCTTCTTTTTCCGGTTGACAAAATAACAATTTTGCATTTTTATGTACCGGACGACAGCATTTAAAAAATGATGATAATGATAATGATAGAACATTAACAAAAAATACGTTCTATACTTTTTTTTCGTGAAAATTCTTTCTCTCTTCCCCTCTCCCCCCTTTTTTTTTATTATTATTATTATTTCCATATTAATAAAATAACTCGGTTGTAATATTGTATTCTGCTTATTCGACAAAAACAAATGCTTAGCAAAATAAAATAAAAAAAATAAAATTTTTTTTTTTTTTAAGGTCATATTTTCTAATTATGTATTTATTAAAAAACCAACCACGTGACCACAACAAAAACAAAAACAAAAAAAAATTTTTTCAGCAAGTTAATTAAATCTATTTATTTTATTTATTTAAAAAATATAAATTATTAATTATGTATATTATATATATTTATAAATATTTTGTTGTTTAAATATAATAATATTTATACAAATAAAAAAAAATTAATAATAATAATAATAATAATAATAATAATAATAATAATTAAAAAAAACCCAAACTTATAAAAAAAATTATTAATTAAAACAAACAAAAAAAAAAAAATCTCACATCCTCGTTAATAAATTTTTATTTTTATAAATACTATTAATTATCGGACGGCTTATCATTAAATAATAACATTATCATTATAATTATTATCATTATTATTATTATTATTATTAATACGCAAGCATTAAATATAAACAAAAACAAAAACAAAAAAGAAAAACACGTGCGTTTTTTTTATTATTAAAAAATTTTTTAAACAATATTTTTAATATTTTTATATGCAATAATAATAATAATAGTAAAATGATAATCAGCAGCAACAGCAACAACAGCAGCAGCACTTGAACTTTAATTTACTTAACAAAATTTATTATTATTATTACTATTATTTCTTTCTTAATAAAAAAAAAAACCAACACGGAAAGATTACAAAGACTTTCCCCCCCCCCGTTTTCTTTAAAATGTCGTTTAATTAAACTTAATAAATAATTCCTTACCATCATCATCTTATTCATTAACCATTTGTTTTAATCATGGTAATAATAATAATAATGATGATGATGATGATGATGAATAATCACAATAAGACACCAAAAAAATTTTTTTTTAAATTAACAACCCACGTTTTTCTTAAAAAATTCATAAAATCCATTACAATAAAAAAAAAGAGTATTATTATTATTATTATTGAACAAAAAAAAAAAAAAAAAATTGTTACAGTACCGTAATAAGATAAAAATTATAAAAACGGATGTATAAATTTTACATATTATTATTATTTTTATTATTTAACGAATGAAATTAAATTAAAAAAAAAAAAAAGACGACAAAGGTTTAAGTACCCGCGAGACGAGTATTTATTTATTTATTTAAACAAAAATTTTTACTCGCGACAAATATTTTTTTTAAAACAATAACAAATGACGTCATATTAATATTAATAATAATAATAATAATAATAATAATAATAATAATAATAATAATAATAATAATATCATTTCGGTTCAAATACATAAAATTAATTTCATTTTTTTTAAACAAAACAGTTTGTTTCCAATTTGACAAAATTTTTTTAAGTTCAAAATTTTAAAAATAAAAATAATAATAATAAAAATAAAACAAATAAATAAATAAACAAACAAAATAATTAATTAATTAAAAAAATTATAAATTAAATTTTTTCGGGGGGGGGGGGGGAATCCCAATGAATAACAACGATATTAAAAAAAATAAAAAAAAATTACGACTGATTTTTATTTATTTTTATTTTAAGTCCCTCCCCCGTCCTTCCTTCCTTCCTTCCTCCCTCCCTCCCTCCCTCCCTCCTTAAATTTAAAAACTTATTTTACAAATATTATAAATTTATTTAATAATAAAATTAAAATAATAATAATAATAAAAACGTAAAATTTTTTGACCTGAAAAAAAAAAAAAAAAAAACGATCGAGAAGGCACTTTAAATCATTTTTGATTATTAAAAATAATTTTTTTTTTTTTTATGTCTCATCAAAATTTTTTTTTTTTTTATGGTAGTTTTTACATTTAAGGTTACAAAAATAAAAGGACACTTCGACCACCTTATATCACTTCCTCATCCCCCCCCTATCATCATCATCATCCGTTACCGGTAAATACCGGTCTATAAATATATATATATATATAACAAATGCCAACAAACTCTCGAAAAAAAAAAAAAAAAAAATTAATTATTTTGCAAAATTTAATAATGATAATAATAATAATAATAATCAGGTAGAGACCTGGAATGCCTTAAAAAAACTACCGACGAGTATTTAAAACCTTGTTCAAAAGTGAAAATAATAATAATAATAACAAACATTAACGACGTTCTTTTTTAAAAAATTATTATTATTTTTTTTTTACTCCAGAAAAAATCCCCTCCCCTCCGCCCCTCCCGGAAAAAAAGAAGAAGAGAAAACTCATTTAAATAAAAATTAATACGATGATGATGATGATGATAATAATAATGATTCGAACCAAATAAAAACGTTTAAAATATTAATTACGAGAGTAATAATAATAATACCAGTTATTAGAAGTCGTAACGACGACAACAACCGTTTAAGAAATCGTATTAATAATAATAATAATAATAATAATAATGATGATGATGATGATTTTAAATTTTTAATGCGAATCCCGTATTATTATTAATTTACATAATTTTTATTATTATTATTATTATTATTTATTAACAATATATATTAATTTTTTTTTTATTTTCGTTCACATACCGTTCGATGCAATTAACAAAAAAAATAAAACCCGGAAAAAAAAAATTAATTAAACCCCCCCTCCCTTTTTCCCTCCCATGTAAATTCAAAATAATAATTGTAATGATGATGATGATAATAATAATAAAATAATTATTAACGATCGAGTTTTTTTTTTTTTTGAAAAGAAACTTAATAAAACTTGTCAACGACTAACTCGAAAACTTGTTTAACATACATATAAAAAATTAAAATAAATTTAATTTTACAAAAAAAATAAATAAATAATGATGATGGTAATAATAATAATAATAATAATAATAATAATAATAATAATAATAATAATAATAATAATAATGTAACAATTTTTTTATTGAGAAATGAGAGAGAGAGAGAGAGAAAAAAAATTAACAAGCTCCCGTTTGATTTTATGTAAATTAAAAAAAAAAAATTATTTTCATTTTTTTTTTTGTACAATTTTAAAAATAATAGTTTTACGAAAAAAATCAATTTTTACGACTCTATAATTTAATAACGTTTTTTTTTTTTTTTTAATTTCCTTTTAATAAAACAAACAAAATAATTTTTTTTTTTTTTTCAATTTACTTTAAAACAACAACAACAACAACGAAAACAACAAAAAAAAAAAAAACAACAACAACCAGATGATAATAATTCGTGAAAGTTGATCGAAAATCAAAGTAACTTTTTTTTTCCTATCTATCTCTCTCTCTCTTTTTTTTTTTTATTACCATAAATTGATTTTACCACAATTTGATTTATTCAATTTATAAATAAAAATAATAATAATAATAATTATATTAATAATAAAAATGATACGAACGAACCCACTCACGCATTTGGAAATCGTTTACATTTCATATGAATAATTCAATCTACATAATATCGTTATGAATTTTTTTTTCCAGTACTGGAACGTTCCAGTGCTGCTGCACACAAACACACATCGGATGAACTTTTCGGTTAAAGTGGAAGAAATTAAGTAATCCCTGGAAGAGCGATTCAAAAAAAAAAAAAAAAGTCACGTGGGACGGTACAAACTCTTCAATACAAAACAAAGAAAAAAAAGCACCACAGAGATTCGAGAAATACTTAAAACTATTTTTTTAACCCCCTTATTCGGTGCATACAAAAGCGATTTACCCTTAATAATAATAATAATAACAATGATAATAATAATATTAATTTTATTAAATTTAAAAAAAAAAAAAGCGTCATAGGATATAAAATGTCATTTGGACGGATTCCGTTTCGTTTGTTTTTTAAAATAAATAAATACTTGAACGTAATTTAATTACATAAAACTGGCAACGCAGTGTGCGTTATCACTACCATTATTATCATCATCATCATCATCATCATCATTATTTTTTTTAATGACGTCAAATCATTCGAGATTTCTAATATCAATTAATCAATCAATGCCTGAGATATTTGCGTACGTAAGTACGTACGACGACGAAATTCAATCGTTTTCTTCTTCATTATTATTATTATTATTATCGTTTTAATAATCATTGCGACACAACAGGTAACCATTCTTTTTTTTTTTTTTTTTATTATTTATAAATCGGCGACAACTGATTGTTTGTTTGATTTTTATGCGAAAAACAAAAATTGAAAAAAAAAAAAAAAAAAAAAAAACAAACAGAAAAGAAAACAACTTTTATCACCCTCTCATCCTTTTCTTCCTTTTTCTCTCCTTATATGACGGAAGTTTTCGTGGGTTCCGAATGATGCATGGGATGATGAAAATCTTTCCTCTCTTTTTTCATCCTGTGCACTCGTCCTTCGATGAGGAAAAGAATTCCGGATATGTACAAGAAAACGACACCCATGACCGCCATCGCGAACGCCCACGATATGTCGTTGTGTTCCCAATTTTGCATCCAATCACGTCCGTCTCCTCTTGCGCCAAATATTATCACCGCCAACGTTCCGGACACGGCTAAACAAAAAAAATATTTTTTTTACTCCATTCCCAAATCTCTCTCTCTCTCTCTCTACCTATCTTTCATCACCCGGTGATGAACGTAACCCACACTTCGGCATTGCCAAAATCAAAAAAAAAAAAAAAAAATTCACAAAGGATCAAACAACTCGTGAATATGATTCACGTATATCGAGAAAGAGAAAGAGAGAGAGAGAGAGAGAGACAAGGTTTAATTTAGTGAGGGGATCCATATAACCGTTTGTTGAATTAGCTACCGGTCAAATCAAATTTTCTAACGTCTAAATAATAATGAAAACGTAAATTTTTCCTGTCAGGCATGCGGTTTGACCGGGTTCGAAAGGTCAAAGTTACCGATTCAATACATTTATATTTCCGATGCGGATACATACATACATATATTTATTTATTTCGATCTATCCATCTATTGAAAATTTCTATTATTATTATTACTATGTTTTTTCCAAAAAAAACCAATAAAAAAAAAAAATTGTTTCTATTCTTGTTTTTTTAGTTTTTTCAATATTTATATTCGTGTACGAAAAAAAAAATTTCGATTCGTTCAAGTGAAAAATAAATAAGTAAATAAATAAATAAATAATAATATTTGAAAATCAAAATGAAAAGTGCACAAGCAAGAGTCAAATGTTAAATAATAGAAAACAAAAAAAAAATGATGATGATGATGATGATGATGAGGTGAAAACTAGATATTGAATAAAATAAAATTCAAACCGGAAAAAAAAGAAATTATTATTATTATTATGTTTACAATAATAAGAAATCCGGATTTCAATTTAACCCGTGACGAACTAACTGTATTTGAACAACAACAACAACAAAAATCAATATTTTGCAAATTTAATAAAAAAAAAAAATTATTATTATTATTATTATTATTATTATTATTCATTCTTACCGGCTAAAACTAAATTGGATCCGATTACGAATAATAATAATACGAATCGTTCGTGTTCTCTCGAACAAGACAAATACAAAGCAACCAAAAATGAAGCAATTAACAAAAGTGTTAGGGTCAACGTGAAGAAAAACTGCGTGGCAACGAAGAAACCTAAAAAAAAAAAAAAGCAAACAAACAAACAAACAAAACCAAAAAAAATGGTAAGTAAATATTAAGAAATAAGAAAAAAAAAAAAAATTAAACAAACAATTTAAAACAAATACAAACCTGGTAATAAAATGTTATGAATTATATAGTATTCTTCTTCGAATACCCACCAGCAACCTGTGAATTTTGTGTCGTACCAATGCCTGGGATCTTCGTAATCCTGAAAACAAACTTGCCACAAACCTAAAAACAACAAAAACAACAAACGAAAATCAATAAATTATTAATAAGAGAAAAAAAAACAAAAAATATTTGCAAATCGATAAGGCAAACAACAAACCAACCTTCTCGAGCACCACCACCACGACAACAACAAAAACAACAAACAACAACAACAACTTATTTATCACGTGGATTGTATTAAATTTTTCATACATACTTAAAAAAATAGAAGACAAGGGCGAGGGTTAATGTTTTAATAAATCTCTCTCTCTCTCTTTCTTTTGAAATTGATACGAATATGTTTAAATAACCTTGCACACCTCGGGGGGGAAGTATATTTTCTTTAACCACACGTTGTTACACCCAACATTTGATTGCAACGTACCTGAAAATCCGCGATCTTATCACATTGCAAATGTTTCGTCTTTATACCTTAGGCATTCGAATTTCGATCGAACACAATTTTTCTCTTTTTTGCTTATTTAACTCGGACACACGTTCGAAAAAATAATAAGGGCACACACAAACGCAAACAAACACACGAGGGCCTTGTAAATCAAAAAAAAAAAAAAATTATTATTATCATTATTATTATTATTAACGTACCTTTAATAAAAAGAGGCAGCGTTAAATTCAAAACGTATATTTAATATACCCGAAAAAAAAAAATCCCTCCAGGTTAATTTTTTTTTTTATTATATTTCTTACGTGTATAATTTTATAAGTCACATTTTTAATCAAATCTAATAAAAAAAAAAAAAAATCCAAACAACAACAACAACAACAACCACAAACACTTGACATAAAAAAAAATTTATTTTTATCATTCGAACCAACAAAAATTTTCCCCGGGAATAATAATAATAATTAATTTTTTTTCCTCCCCATCAATCCTCTGGTAATTTTATCCCATCAACCCCTTGAAAATATCGTTTGTGGTGGTGGTTGTTGTTGTTGTCATCATCGTCGTTTATCATTATTAAAATTATCTACAACTTTTTAGGGGGGGGGGGGGAAAATAATTTTACAAACTTTTTTTTTTAAATTAAATTAAATTTTTTTAAGGTATATAATCAGAACAGAAAAAAAAATTCGTTTTTCCCCTTTACGTTTTTTCAAATACCAAAAAAAAAAAAAAAAAAAAAAAAAAAAAAAATTAATAATAATAATAATTATAATCGGACACGGCGTTATTTTTTTTTTCATTATTTCTCTCATTATTATTATTATTATTACGATTTGAGTTCGATTTTTTTCATTTTTTTCTTATTGCTTAAGGGATTGATTGGTGCCGACCGCGTTCGACGAAAAATTTCAATGAAATTGTTTAACGACAACAAACAACAACCCCTCTTTTTTTTTTTTTTTAACGTGAAAACACAACAACCGATCATTCTATTCATTCGTGTTATTATAATTGTTAATAAATTAATACTTAAATAAATAAATAAATAAATAATAACAATAACAAAAAAAAAATAAAAAAAAAACCATGACTTGTTTTTCTTATTATATGGTGCGTAATAAAAAAACGCACGTTAAAACAGGATATGTTGCATTGTGAGAATACGCACGTTTTTTTCGAAATTGTTATTATTATTTTTTTTTTATTTCCCTTTACACGCATTTTTTTTGATAAGTTGATATCAAAAAACGCACACGCCCAATTTTAACATTGTTGAAAAATCAACCTGAAAATCTATGCGAAAAATCAGGCGTTGGTTTTTTTTATTATTTTTATTATCCAAACCGCGTAAAATTTTTATTACTCTTAAAAATAACCGAAGAATAATTTTTCCTCTCGTTAAATCAGCTCCGCGAGTTTTATTTTTAAATACAAAAAACCCGACGTGTAATTTTTTTTTTTTTTTTTTTGTCAGGGAGCTTTCTTCTTCTAGGCACATCGATTTAATTTTTGACAATCAAAAAAAAAAAAAAAAAATCTTTCGTGTGACTTTTTCTGCGGCGATTCCCTCTTCTTCCCCCCCCCTCCTCCCGCCCACTCCCTTCGTTTTCCTAACGTGACAGTTGGTTTTTTTTTTTAAAACTCTCCCTCAGGAATTTCACGTCATATTATTACGTCTCGTATTGTCAACGACAAACAATATTTTCAAGGGGTTGATGGGATAAAATTATTATAATTGTTTCCCTCCCCCCGCCCGTTTAAGAAAACAACATCTTTAACGTTTTTTAATTTTTTAATGAACGTTTGACGTAACGGGGAAAGCGGAAGTTAATAATTATTATTATTATTATTCGAAAACAAAACAAAAAAATCAAACATCGAACTGTTTAAACATTTGCAATTGTTCCATCTCCCCCCAAAAAATACATTTTAATCGTTTTTTTATTATTATTATTTGTTAATACAAATTATTAATATTTTGGCAACGCTTGTTTTCTCTCTCTCTCTCTCCTTATTTAAAAACAAACAACAATTTTTTTTGGGGCCCAACTCGAAACCATTAAATAAATATTATCACATCATTCGCGTCCTCTCACATGTGAGATTTTAATTGATAATTTATTTAACCGTTCGCCCCCTTTTTTTTCTACCTTTATGGAACAACCTACTAAGTAATAAGATTTGAGGCAACGATTGTAGTGGGGGGGGGGAAGAGGGGGGGGGAAAAAACTTTAAAAACCTCGAGGAAAAAATTTTTTTTTTTTTTCTTTTTAACCATTCAGTAGCAGCATGGAAAACGATGAAAATCTAAATGTATCGATCTAAAACGATTATTATTATTATTATTATTATTATTATTATTATTATTATTATTATTATTATTTTAAATATAGATTTCACACTTTCGGTAGTAAGAGATAGTAGTTGTTAAAGAGTTTTAATTTAATTTTAATCTCCGTCATCTCGCGAAGAAATAAAAGAGGAAATAATTTATTTTAAAAGGAACCGCGATTAAACGAAAAAATCCTTTCGCGTACCCTCGGGATCCAACAAAAAAAATACAAAAAATTTAAACGCGTTTGAAAACCCCTTCCTCCCTCCCCCAGGAAACAACGTTTCGTCTTCTTTGTCTTTGTCCTTTCGAGCTTCCTTTTTTACACATCTTTTTATTCCGCGTAATAAAAAATAAAATAAATAAATAAAATAATAAAAAAATTTTATTACGATGACTTACGACATTTAATAACCGATAAATTACTCGCGATCACACGTGCACGCGCACACACGCACACGCACATTCGAAAAATAACGGACTACGTTTAAAAAAAAAACCTTAATAAGAGAGAGACATAATTTAGATTTAATTAAATAAAAAAAATTTACAATTTTGATTCGACACTACGACACGACTTTTTTATTTTTTGAACGACTTTAAAAAAAGATTCGCCAATAATACGGTAAAGTAAAATTATAATAATAAATTACAAAAACGACGACGACATCTTAAAAAAAAAAAAAATATTCCGGTTAATTATATTATTTTCAGGTATAAAAAAAAAAAAAAAAAAAAAAAGTTGTATTCAATTATAAACATTTCCTACCACATCATCTGCTACTCATTTTTTTAAAAATTGGGAAATATCGACTGTGGCACTTTTTGGGGCAGCAACCGGTAGCACCAACAGTAGGCAGACCCCCTCGTCCTCCATCCCGCCCCCAGCTCCCCCCTTTCTCTCTCTCATTTGATTGACTCTTTAAACAATAACTTATTTTATAAAAAACCGTAATTATAATATTATTTACCGTTTAATAATAATAATAAACGTCCGAAAATAAAAAAATCCGTAATTTATTCCTTTTCCTCCTTTGACAGATAAAACCGCGGGACCTTTTTTTTTTTTTTTTCTTTCTCCAATCGGTCCCCCGGGTTATTACCTTTTTTTTTTTTTTATTAATAAAATATATTAATATTTTTTTCGACTACCAAATAAATTAATAATCAAAGTAAAAGAGAGAGAGAGAGAGAAAAGTAATTAAACTTTTTTCGTTGGTGAAAAATTAAAAAAAAAAGTTTACCGTACTTTTTTTTTTTTTACCGGCCCCTACTATTTCCTCTCCCTACCCACCCACCCCTCTCCCCTTTTCAAAATAAAAAAGGAAACTTTACCGCGTATTAAAAAAAAAAAAATTAATTCAAATTTAATAAAAATAAAAAAAATCTCGTTTTTTAAATTTATAAATAATTACTCGTTCGAATTAAATTTAAAAAAAAAAAAAAGGATAAACATTTGTGCCTACGCGTATATGTACAATCGATTTGACAACTGAATTCAGGTTGTTGTCATTATTATTATTATTATTATTGGCCAATATTAAGATATTTTTCTGTTATCTCTTTCTTTCTCTCTCTCTCTCTCTTTTTTTTTTTTTTTTGTATTTAATATGTATCGTTTGTGTTCATCTATACTGGAAGCTGCTTGGCTTTCATATTCTACTTAATAACTCCTACTCTTTCGTTTTATTTATTTATTTTTTTTTGATTTAAATAATAAGTATCACGTCTCATTCAAATTATATACATATATATTTTTTTTTTCTTAAATAAATTATATCGTAAAAGTGAAAAATGTTTTTTCTTTTAAGATCAAATATTTATTTATTTACATTTTTTGTTGTTGTTGTCGTCGTCGTCGTTGACGTTTTTTTTTTTTATTTAAATGTGATATTATCATCGTTTCCGTTAATTTGGGTCGATACATTAATTTTGTATTGGTAAATCACAAACGAATCGAAACGTGACAAAATTAATTGTTCGTTTTAACAATAATAATTTTATTGCCTCGTCAATATTGTGCAAATGGAGAAGAAACGTTTGCCAAATCATTCGCGAATTGCTATTTTACATTGGTACCAACATTGAAATTTAAAGAGATGCGTAATAAATTTAAAATGGGCAAAATACACACACGATACTAATAAAACGAACGACCCATTAAAAACAAACAAACAAATTTCATCTTAAACGCGACATCTTTATTTACATTTTTTTTCTTTTTCTGTCTCTCCCCCCCCCCTCTCTCTCTCTCACTCTTCAAATTAAATTTTTCCAAAATCCAAAAAAAAAATTATTGCCAGTCTCTTGCAGAGCAAAACAGAAAAAATCAAAAATCAATAACGGTAGTGAAAATTAAATTACAAAATTATTATTATTATTATTAATTAAAACGAGTTTTTTTTTGAGATGTGAATTTTGTAAATGCGTGTGCGTGCGTGTGCGTGTTGCAGTCGTAACACATATTATTTTAATATTTATCCCCCAAAAACTTAAAAACTATCGGAACTCACAAAAAATAAAAAATAAAAAACCATGCAATCATAGACCAGAGGCTTTGAAATTATTAAATCGTCAAATTAAATTCACTCCCGAATATAATAAAATAATGATGATGATGATGATGATAAATATATATTCGTAAGAAAATAAATAAATAATAATAATATTGAAAAAAAAAAATTTGTGTCACTGGTCCTCCTCCTTTGATTTTTTAAAAAAAAAAAAAAAAACCGAATTGAATCTGTATATATTTATCTATACATATGTAAAACAACGTGAAATGCATTCGCCTCAAGTAAATGACATATCAAAGAGAGGTGGTATTACTGGAGAAGTGGTAGCTCTGGAGAAGAAGTAGTAGTAGTAGTAGTAGTACCTCAACTAAAATTGACACCACTCGACTTTCCTAACGTGTAATTAAAAGTAGTAGTAGTAACGTTAGAGGAATGCAATCAATTTCAACAAAATTTCACTTTGTTTTAAGCAAAAAAAAAAAAAAAAAAATTGTTCAACAAAACGTGATTAAAGTGAAAATTTGAAATTTATCATCATCATCAACATCATCATTATTTTTTATTTAGAAAAAATAAAAAATAAAAATTAAATTAAAAAACAAAAAAAATTTGTTTTTTTTTTTTCCTTTTCTTTGACCGACAATTAAAATAAATGAAAATTGAAAGGCATGATCATTCAGATCGATTCAACATACTTGTAAAAAATAATATTATCATCATCATCATCATTATTTAGATTTTTATATTTACTTTCAGTTTTCTCTTAAAAAAAAAAAAAAAACAACAATTTAATAATAATTTCCTTTGACCATCGTTATAAATTTTTTCTAACTCCTTTCTTTACAACATATTAATACGATATAATTAACTGTTGTTAAAAAAAAAAAAAAATTCGTTTGAATTTCTTTGAACCTGTTTAGGTTCAAAAAAAAAAAAACTTTTGGCATTTTATTTATTTATATAAATATATACTTTAATTTTTTTTTTTTTTTTTGTTCGTCAAAGTACGTGACAGATGCTCATTCATAATTTTTACTTTTTTTTTATAACCCCAGATGTATAATTTTTGATTAAATTATTTCAACACATAAATAAATAAATAATTATACGTTAAATACATAACACTTTTCTGACAAATAATTTCTCATTTAAAATTTTTAATAAACAAAAAAAAAATTTAAGATTATAAAAGATTATTTAAATAAATCTGATAATGTATTAATAAATTTAAAAATAAAATGAATAACCTTAATTTTTTTTAATATTAAGATAATTATGAAATATAAGAGCAAGAGAGAGAGATTCGAATATGATAGTATTAAACATAACACATACCTACAGTATAATAATATCGAGATTATTTTTTTCATAAAAATTTGTAGTGTGTGAAAATTATGTAAAAAAAAGCTTTCAAACTTGCTACAACATAATTATACTAAATAAAGATTTTAATACTTTTTATTTTTTTTTACTTTAAACGATTTAATATGGTTTTAAAAATAAAATATCGAAATCAATTTATCATTTAATAAATTTTTCCCCTATGAATCTATTCGTTTTAGAGAATTACGATATTTTCAAACATGATTAATACACTTATTCGTTAATAAATTAGTAATATTGTTAGAAACTTTAAATTTAACTAAAAATATAAATGTATGTAACATTAAAATAAGTATGATATTGTATTAAATTCAGAATAACTAAATTCTAAAATCAGGTCACAAGTTCGAGTAAAAGATGAATAAGTATTAATGATTAAAATCCTATAATATAGAATATTGTTCGAAAAAAGAAACTTTATTTAGTTTGTGTTGCAGTAAATAAGAACATGGGTAAAAAAGGAGTGAAATATAATTTCAAATCTCATATGAATAATCGAAAGACATTTTATGTAAAAAGGTACATTTTACTCATGTCATTTGTATTCAAGTTAAATACAAAATACTATTTACTGCAAATTATTCTGTTTTTACAAAAAAAAAAAAGCTTTTAAACTTAACTAACTTAAAACTTTTTAACTTTAAAATTTTGTAAGTAGTTCAATTAAATCACTGTTAAAAAAACAAACTAACCAAACTTGGTGGGAAAATAAAAAAACTTATCAGAATGAAACGGTGTATTAATCAGTTTATAAAAAATAAATAAAAAAAAAACATTTATAAAAAATATCAATGTTTAAAATGCGTTTTGAAAGAAGTAACTTAAATTTATAAAATATAATAAGCAGAAAAAGAAATAAAGCTACTGTGTAACAGTCATGAAATGGCGGCCACACCTAACAAACATTACTTACCTATTTTTAAAAATTTAGGACTTTCAAGTTTTCCATCCGTCTCTAACCAATTAGGTGAGACAAATGCAATAAAAACAAATAAAAATGCCACTGCCGTACATAACGTTGCAATTTTACCAGTTTTTGATTTTCCCATTTTGCACTTAAACTATTACTATATCTCTAACAAGTGTTTTTTACTGTTATGACGTCATAAAAATTCAGGGAAACTTGTCGAATATTGTTTAAGTTGTTCCCACTGTTTTGGCGTCTTTAGAGTTTTATACGTACGTTAATTTTTATTTCAATTTAAAACATTTTTTTATTTCAAGTTAATTTAGTTTTTTGTGCATTGTACACGCATATTTTTAATTAAGGGTTGCCTTTTTAAATTCTTATTTATTTATAAGGCATCCATGAACATTAGGGCACTTTTTACGTGAGTAACTATGTATCTTATATTTGCTCCTTTTTCGGTAGATATTTTTTTCAACTAACAAGTACTAATTATTAACAAGAAAGAAAAAAAAAAAAGTTGAAAAAAATAATTATTATACTTTTGACTATAAAATGCAAATTGTATTTTAATAATTATTATTGAAATAGTACCTGTAGTTGAAACTGATTTTTAGACCAGAAGTGTATGATTTGAAATTAATTATGTGGAGAATTTTTACCATATCAAAATCATTATAAAAAAATGTCACATAAAACTTTACATTTGTTATGTTACATTATTTCCTTATTATATTTTATTCATTGCATTAATTAAAACTAAAAAAGAAAAAGGGCAAGGAAAAATTATAATGAAAAATTATGATTTTAAATAAATTAAAACAAACCAACATTAAAAATTAAACATCATGGTTGTTGGTTTTACATCATAGCAAATGTAAATTAATAAAAAAAAAAAAAAAGAAAAATTTATTCATATCATTTTTATTAAATAAAATAACAAAAGTTGACTGGTGTGTAAAGATTTCATTTCACAAATTAAAATAAAATGTATATATATATATATATATATATATATATTTAAAAAATCTCATTATTTTTAATATATAAAAATTCATTAACAAATTTATGTAGGATATATATATATATTTTATTAAATAATGTTATGAATTTGATGTTTCATGTTCCACTTAGTGGTAACATAAAATATCTTGTCACATATTGCTTTAATTCATTTTAAATTTAAATAATTTGCAAAAAAAAAAAAAATGAAGTTATCTGTAATAAGTTGAGTGTATCTTGTACCATAATACTCTAACAACTAATACAAAAAAAAAAAAGTTGAAATTATTATTATTATTATTTTGTTTAGTATTAAACTTAAAAAATCGTTTACACAATTTAAAAAAAAATTCTTTTATTCGGTTGAAAAATTTCTATAACGGACTTCTGACTCAGTGAACCTTAACATAACAAGAAAAATTACATTGTAAACTTGATTACTAAAAAAAAAAATAATTTACTTTTGAGGTGGAACGTGTATTTTAACCGCATTCTGATATAAATTTATAAGTTTTCATCTCTCTTTTCACCACCGAATAATATTATTATTATCATTATTATTATTATTATTATTTTTGTATAGAAAATAATGCATTTCACCGACAACAAAAAAAAAGAAAAACAATTGTAATATATTTATATATAACTTCTCTCACCTTTTTATTATTATTATTTTATATTTTCAATTTTATCATTATGATTAGTTTTGTTTTCTCTCCCCCTACCTCTACCCCCACCCCTTCACTTCTCCATTTTTTTAATATCGAATTTCAGTTTCGATAAAAAAAATAAAATTATTACGTTATAAATTTACATAAATTAAACTAAAAAAATATAAATAAAAAATTTATTTAAAAAAATTTAAATTTTAAACTTAAATAATAATAATAATAATAATAATAATAATAATAATAATAATAATAATAATAATAATAATAATAATAATAATAAATAAATGTCTTATAAAATTTAAAATTTAAAAAAAAAAACCGGTTTTACAAATTTTTTTTTTTGTTTAAAATTTAATTTTTAATAAGTAAATAAATAAATAAATGAATAAGTAAATATCGATTGAATTATTATTAATAAAAATTTATTTATTTATTAATTTCCTAAATTATTATTATTATTATTATTACCAATCATCGTATCGTTCGAAAGAATTATTTAAAAAAAAAAAAAAAAATTTAATAACTGTATTTTATTACTTTATTAAATAGAATAACTTACTTATTACTTACTCGTAATTTTAAAGTACGTAAAAATAATGAGTCGAGTTGTTTATTAACAAACGCAAATTTTTTCTTATTTTCACGAACGTGATTGGTTATTGAACAAAACGTAATATTACAAAAATTATTATTCGTTTATTATTATTATTTTAAAATCAAAATACTTATTAATGTTTAATAACTGTTTATTAAATAAATGAAAAAAAAATTTTAACGTTATGCCTGTCGTTGGTAAACGAAAAATTACTTTTTTAATTTTTTTTAGATTCACGTTATTATTATTATTATTATTATTATTTAATCACGAGGTATATTTCGTGTAATTGGTTGAAATTTTCCAGCAGTATTTCCACGTTTATAACCTGGGGAGCAGTGATGAACGCTTCCGTTTCAATCTTATGTTTTCCAAGCCGTAGCCAATTGTGCGTGCTCTTCTTATTATTTTCTGAAGCGTTTGCTCTCATTAAGTATTGTCTGTTGCCATTTGACCTTTAGCTTCTTTCGGGATTGACCTTTGCTGTCGTAAGTTGCAATCCGACATTCTTTTTGTTTGTTTCCTTTATCCTCTTCGACGATTCGTTTTGTCCTTCTTAGTACTCCTTTTTTTGTAATTTTTTCCTCCACGTGTACTACTTGGGCTAAGATGGGGTGCTGATGATGGGATTCCATGTACTTTCCCATCTCTCTAGTCCTCTAGTCTTCTTCCTCCATCTTTCCTACTGACGTTCAGCTTATCTACATCAGCTTTTCGATGCAATGCACCATTCATTGTCGTTATTTTCCTTATTCTTCGGTTCAGGCACGTGATTTCTTCTTCTTCTTCTCCTCATCATTATTATTATTCAATCATGACGTATATTTCATAAAATTGTTGAAATTTTCCAGCACTATTTCCACGTTTCTAACCAATTTTATAAAAATTTGTTAACTTAAAATAGTCGAATAATGTATAAAATATTTTTCCGATTGTTTTTTCCGGGTTGTTCAGACATGACTCATTTCCGTTTTCGTTTTTCCTGCTTCTTAACAACGATAAAATTCCCGTACCTTTATAATATTTTCCTTCTTCAAAAAAAAAAAAATTAATTCACACACCATTTTTTTTTTTTTTCAAATCGTAAATAACGATATCCGGTTTTTATTTGTCAGGTATCAAAATATACCATCTTAGGATTATTACACAACCTTGCATGAACTCGTTGTTTGTTTTATAATTATATATTTTTTTTTTTAACCGTTTCCGTTTTTGTTGTTGTTGTCGATGTTGTTTGCTTTCTGTTCCATAGTAAATCTAGTTTTATTTATTTTAATCTTTAAAAATTATTAATCGTTAGAAATTTATTTATTAATTATCTTAAAACCGAAACCTAAATAGATTTTAATTAAATTTTTTTTTTAAAGGTAAAACATAACGATAATTAATTATTTTTACGTATAGATTATTATTTATTACGAGTAATAAAACTATAATTTTTTATTAAAATAATTTTAATGACGTGCGTGTTTGTGCGTGTGCGTGCATGTGCGTGCGTGAATGCAATTCGTTACATTAATTAAGTTATTAATCGGATATTTAAATTTAATTTCGTTTTTTCCCTTTTTTTTTTTTAGTGAAAATTAGTTAATTAATTAATTAATTTTTATTAATAATTAATTATCGAAAAATTACCCTCGAGTCGATCCATCGATCGATCGATCGAATCGAATGTGAAACGATGTAAAAAATTTTCACCAATCTCAAGTTATGTATGGCGTGTGTTAATAATAATAATAATTTTAAAATCGTACCTTCGTTGTTATTCCACGTAAGGTTATAGTAATAATAATAATAATAATAATAAGATTTTTTTTTTTTTTATAAATTATAAAATACATTTTAGGAGAGAGTGTATGTGTGTGTGTGTGTATTTCCATCATAATTACTAGTTTAAAACGGGTCAGAAAGATACCACTACTACTACCACGACTACTACTGACACTACAACTACAAATGGTTGATTTCCATTGAACATTTAGTGTATATAGAGACGACCACTTCTTAAAACAACCATTAAGGGATTTGACTACCATTTTTTTTTTTTTTTTTTTTTTTAAATAGAACTCCATTAAAAATAAAAACTTAAAATTACTTAAATCTATTTTCATGGCATTCGAAACAAAATTTTTTTTTTTTGTTAATTAACCAGAGGCAGAGAAAGAAATTTGTCCCAAAAGTATAAAAAAAAAAAAAAAATTTATAAGAATTTTAAAGATTTCCTTTAGTTTAGTAACTAATTCTTGATAATTTAAATTCTTTTTTTAGTCAATTTGATAGCAGAAGTAATTATTATCATATAATTTATCACTAAAAATTTTTACGGGAAAAAAATAATATTTATTATATATATGTATGTATAAGTTTATATATATGCGAGATTCCATTCGTTTGTACGGTTGATCGGTTGTTTGTTCGTTGTTTTTTTTAAATCATAAGATTATGACACGCATTTTTTTTTTATTTCCAATTATCAAAAACCAAAAATGAACGAGTTTTTAAAAACTTCCATTCAGCAACCTGTTATTTGGATTATTAAAAAAAAAAAAAAAACTAAAATAATAATAATAATAATAATAATAACAAAAAAAAAAAAATTTTTTTCTAGTCGGTGGGGGCCATCAAACCTCACTTTCTAATTCTTTCACGTTTCTTGCAATTTTTTTTTCCTTCTCGTTTGTTTGTTTGTTTGTTTGTTTTAACATATTTATACAAAATACCAGACAAGAGAGAGAGAAAGAAAAAACATGATTCGTGGTCTATGGTAAAATGATAATAATAATAATATTATTGGGGTGATACGATTGTTTTCCCTTCCCCCAATTCATCTGGAGGCGTTTGTTTTCATTTTGAAAAACAAATCGTGAAATTTTT